CTGAAAGAAAATTAAGATGAGAACTAGAAAGAGTACTGGATTTATCAAAAAGAAGAGCACTGGGACTCCTGAGAAGCACAAGTTCAGTGGAGTGGGTGCTGGGGTGCTGGGTAAAGCCTAAATGAACTTGGTTAAAGAGTGAATGGGAGGAAAGGCACTGGAGAATAAAAGTCCAGGCAATATATATTCTCAAGGAATTCATGAATAGTTGGAAGACATTTGAACATCCATGGATGGGGCTTAGAATGGAGGTTGAGCTAATGCTGCTTATATCTAAGGGGAAGCGAAATTCCAGTTGACTTTTCATTACATATACTAAATATGGAAAAGGTATTAAAAAGATGTGTGGTGAAGATACTGCAGACTATTACCGAGTAAAACGTCATAGAAAAAGCAGTGTGGAATGTTAGAAAGTAGGAATCATCACCATAAAAGGCAGTCTTCATGGGAGCGAAATGAGATCTAAACAGAGATCAAATCAGTGAAGCGAGGTTGAGATGGCCACAATATCCCTTTTTCCCTCAATGCCCAATACAACTCAATGCCAGTCTGTTAAAGTATCTTTCCTTTGCAGTCTTTCTGCAAATTTGCTTTCATGCACAATTATAAAAATAAGATGATTGTTATTACTACACACAAAAAGGTGTTATATTGCATTAACTTGGGTAACAGCCAATGGTTGCTTGAGTAAGGGTTGAGAGAAGTGGATGGATTATGGTTATGTTTTCAATGTGTATACTGCACTTACTGAAGAACTGAATAAAAAGGATGATTAAAAAGTATGTGAGGCTTCAGGGATAACTTCTAGGTTTTTGCCTTGAGCAATTTGGTGAATCACTGGGATTTTTATCTAGGTGGAAAATTTCTTCAGGATTTATAGAGAGAAGATGAGCTCTCCAAATAGAGATTCCTATAGAATTTTTTTTTTTTTTCCAGAAAGGGGGAGGTATGAAGCAGGCAGGTATATATGCAAATCTAAAATCCAGTGATGACTATAGTATGATGGCTAGTAAAAACAACTTTAAAACCATCGTAAAAAAAAAAAAAAAAATTGGACTGCATCCTGATATAATATGGCTAAAAGAAGTTTTGTTTTTGCTATTTATTTATCTTTTGGGAAATTATAGCTTGTTTGTAGTCTAGAGGTATGGGGAGAGACAGACTGCAGATACCAGAAACATGAATAACATTAGCTGTTATAACAAGTAAAAAAAAGAATTTCTCTAAACCTCTATACTTTCTCCCTCTGTTCTCATAGGCTAGTTTTCACACAAACCTTTTGATTTGACTGGATAATGGTTAATTAGAAACTCTATCGATTTTAACCAATTACAATGAGTGATGATCTTTCTTATTAAATTTCATTAAAAATTGATTCCAGTGATATATAAGTAGTGAATTTTATAAGTTAATTTATGACCTTGTTGGTGTGCCTATACATTTAAAATCTGCACCTGGACTACTTGTTATGATCATAATTATTTCTCTGTGTAGTAAAAGTTTTCTAATTTTAGATTTTATTAAAATGTTGAAAACCTCTCTGAAGAACAGCATATTGGTGAATATAATTTACTTTCTCAAACCCCAAGGCTAAAAATAATAGGAAAGAAACCAATCATGTAAAACTTCATTGAGTAGTACATTTCTCAACTTGCAAATCAGAGGAACACTTGATTTCCAGAATTGTGTTTTGAAAGATTTTTGCCTCAAGACGTAAATGCTTTAATTCTTTTCTGGGCAATGTGATACTCTCTTACAATGAAAACTAATTTGAACTATCTGAACAGTTCTGCAGAGAAAAGAATGGTTACTCGTTACATTATTTAGCCACTATGTTGGTTGTTAACAAAGATTTTAAGAGCTTTTATGGAGGCTTGATATTCAATAAGCAGATCTGTAACACACCGTAGAACAGTGCCCAAATAATATAGATATTAGAGTTTAGATTGTTTCAGTGATGCATTGAAGCACAATTAGAGGAATATAATTATGGCAGAGAGAGCTGGGAAATGACAGTACCAGATGGATTACACCAGTCTGCAGCAATCAGAGACAAATTACTCCATTTGAATGGTTGAATTTTACACTCTGGAAGGCTACTAGATTCTTGCAGCCAGAGTCTTCAAAAGATAGACTATTTGTCCAAGGAGCCTAGAAGTAAACATTAAATCTGTTAGTTTCAATCATTTACTTGCATGACAATAATGCCTTTGGGATGAACATCTTTAGACACAATGTCAGTAATCAAACTGCTTTACAGGTGGATGATAACAGTGACTAATTCACAGGCATCTTCTCCCTTCACCTTTTGCAAATATCAGTGCCTTAGGGAATCAGCAGCTTCTCTTACCCCTTTATTCCAATTTTTAACCTGAAGCAAAATTGTGTTCTAGACTATAGCCAAACTGACAAGTTTGAATGATGTGGCAAATTTGGTTTGTTGTGGCTCAGGTAGATAGCTCTGCCAGGGACAGGAGAGACTGGTGTAATTTCCCCTCAGAATATGTAAAAAAGATCTCATCAGAAATTTCTGTGAAAATAGACAAATTAGTATATCATATGGAGCTTAGCACATTGATATCGGAAGAAAGGAGAATGTGCAATAACCTCTGACAAAGTTCAATACAAGGAATATTAACAATAGTTTCACAAAGTATAAACAATAAAAGTTGTGTTACTCAACCTCAGTAGGAATTGGCTTTGTCCAAAGAAAATTTTTAGAAGTGTAAAAGATTAAGTTAAACTCAGCAGCTAATGGTTACTTCAATTATTTCTATTGCACTAATGGAATTTAAAACAGTACCTTTCAAGTAAATTAAAAAAGGACTTTTCCTTAAAAATTAGGCCTTTTTCCTATTCTCATTTTTTTTAAAATTTATTTTTATTATGGTGACACTGGTTTACAAAATCCAGTGTTTCAGGTATACAATTCAATAGTAAGGCATATATATACTGCATTGTGTTCACCGCCCACAGGTTTGTCACCACATATTTGACCACTTTTGCCCCATCTATCTCCTCGTTCTCCGCTCACTCCCTACCTTCTGGTACTAACTGGTCTGCCGTTCATGTCCATGAGTCTCTATTTGTTTGTTGCTTTTAGGTTTATATCCCACATATAAGTGATATCATGTGGTTTTCAACTTTTGCTCTCTAGCTTATTTCGCTTAGCATGTTTATCTCGAGGTCTATCCATGTTGTCACAAATGGCAATAATTCATCTCTTCTTATGGCTGAGTAATATGCCATTGTATATATGTACCACAGCTTCTTTATTAATCTATTGTAGGACACTTCAGTTGCTTCCATATCCTGGCTACTGAATGCTGCTATGAAAATTAGGTCTTGACATAGATTTGTGTTTCATTTAACTAAACTAAAAGTAATACCTGAAAATCTTTTAGACAATTTTGAGCAAGGTTTTTTATATATATATCATATATATAAGCTATATGATATATAAATAAAATATATAGCTTTTCTACCTTAATTCTACTAGACTACATCGAAGTGTCTAATTTCTAGACCTCCTAGTTGCTCAAGTTCAGAGGACATGATGGTATATGTGAATGACACCCCTGATTTTGTGTAGTACATCAGTTATCAGCCATACACACATTTTGCAGCAGGCAAAGTTTTGAATTTGGCTCTACGCTGAATTTGGTAATATTTATATAATAGGAAACATTGCTTAGCACCAGAAGTTAAATGGATCAGCACAGGTTGTGGGAATTCTGGATTGATACCACTAAAATTTTGTGATTTTCAGCATGTCACTTGGATTTTTGAAGCTTTATTTCAACTTAGTATACATATTGATACACCTTTTTTATTTGTTTTGCTTAGTTTGGTGAATAAATACCAAATGTTGGATTTTTACCAAATATCAAATGCCCCTCTTGGTCATTGTTAATTATTAACTCATCAGTAAGTTTATGTAATATATGTACACATAGTAGCCATCCTTTACAAACATTTAGAGTATATAAGAGCTGTGATTTTATGAAAATAATAAATCTAGAGGAAATGTTTAATTTCTTACTTATACATGCACAGAATTATCACTTCAGTTGTTAGGAACACTGTTGATAGTACATAGATGGTACTACATACCAAGCAATGCATCTCAAGGCAAGAGGCACTGCCAAATTCTTTGTAACAGGTAATATTTCAAAGCAACTAGAATTCATCCATAGTGCAGAATTATGATTAAAATGGTGAACACCAATTTGTCAGAAACCTCCCAATGACTGAATAGAAGCCACCTTTTTCTAGAGAAATGTGAGTAAAACCTGTCAAATAGCATGAAAAAATTGCAGAACAGGTATCTGGCATCCACAGTTTGGAGGGAAATCCAGACAGTGGTGTGGTAGGGGCACTTAGGAAATACAACTTTACCACTATCTTTGATAACATAGAAAATGATACTAGGTTGAAACACATGGATATCAATAACTCTTTTGAGTTGAAAAGTGCTTCAGAAACGTTTGAATCTGAATGTAAAGTTTTAGGACAGTCTTGACTATATTTCAATACTCATTTTGTTCCTTTATATGTATGTGCAAGCAGGTGAAATGATGAAAATACATATTTAGGTGCATTTAAAATAGATCTCCAATAAATAAACATAAAAACTTCAAACAAAGAAAAAATTGAGTAGTTTTATTGGTAGTGTTTTCTCTTTTTTGGTAGAAAATAATTCTTAATAATTGATGGCACTTTATACAGCAAAATATAAAGATTATAGATTTATACTATTAAACACAGTATTGAACATTTAATAAATGATATATACATAATATGCTCTGAAAGCTGTGCAAGTAAATCAGTAAGTGCAAAACAACAGCTACCATATATCATTATTTTGTCCTTGTAGAGAATCTTGAAAAAAGAAGAAAAAATAAATATCATAATTGAAGTTTGCAGACAAAAGTCGCTTCTGGTTTACCAAATAATTATTTTCATACTGACATGTTACTATAAATAAAAGTGGCACAGACCAGTTCTTATTTCAATTTAATCATGTTAAAACACAAAACTCGGACAAAAGTTTTCTCTAATCATTAGACTTTGATATGAAGACATTTCACATATGTGCTTATACCAAAATAGGAACACATAACTTGGGATTCCAGCCAATTTTTATTTTCTTGAAGCTGTTTATCATCTGCGTATTTTCTGTCTTTGTTTTCTTCTGGCTCCTTCCTGCTGTCTACCTTTTGGCTATTTATCGCTTCTCAGCATCATCACCAGTGCACGAACAGAAAATAAGAAATGGAAAGTAATATTGGTCCATCTGGTAATTTAACAGTTCTGTTAAAGGGATTAATAAGAGAGGATGAAAGTGATGCTGAAAATGAACTTAAATGAGTTTTAGTGAATCTCAATTATTCCTACCATCTTCTCCACACAGATACTTGGGTTTTGTATTTATGTTTTACTAGGGATGGAAATTTAAGACACATTTTTAAGATATACAAACACATGTCCAATTATAAAAGATAAAATAACATATGTACCCTTTTTGTTTCATTCTGATCAATAAATGAGAATGATTTTCATCATTAATTTCAGTTGTTTCTTATCAATTAAGATAATCACAATATTTTAAGCATTGATTTAATCTGAATTTATCCACTATGAATTTGTTTCTGAAAAAGTATTTCTACATTATTCTTACAGTGTTCTGAAAACCCTATAGTTTGCCAGTTTTATTAGTCCATCAGAATTGGACTACTAAGTGTGAGGAAAAAACTGCCAATAAACACTTAAAACTTTGTTGGAACCAAAGCCTAAAATAAGATGGAAAAAATCTAAAGGTATGTTTAGAAAATTATTTTTAAAACTACTATAGTATTATTTGAACAAAACGATGCTCCATAAATCCATCTTTATTAAAAGAAAAAATTAAAATAGTGACAAATGTCCAAGAAGTCCCTTTTCTGAACTTACATCCTTGAAATCTTATTTTTAATTAAAAAAATGGTTTATCGGTAGTTATAATTGTTATGCTACAGCAATTAATATAATTTTCATTAATTCACTTTGATGAAACAAAGTCAACAGAAAACTGTATTTGCAATCCTGCCCAAACAAGAAAGGCAAAGTAAATAATATTTAAGATGTCTCTAAATCAGACTGTTTTCTATTCAAAGTAATTTCTAGAAAAATTTGTTCCCTATAAGTTATCATATCTTCTACATCTTTGTAGACAAGCATTTCTTCAACAGACAACAGCGTATAGTTACTCAGGCTGAACATTGACTTGTTTTGTACAGCATGTAACATCTTTAGGGATGTTGTAACTGAATCACTCAAAGAACAACAAACTGGGAAAATACGAGCATTCCATAAACTCAAACATGTCTTGTCTCCAGAGAACAGCTCCTCTGTAACTTTCAGATTCCAGATATCTAAGCATGACAGAAAACAGACTCCAAAGAACTGAAGTGACTTTATATTTGACAATGTTTTAACATTCTTTTTCAACTTGTCTTGCACTCCAAATGCCATAGTTGAATACTTTAAGTGTCCATTCATCTTTAAGCTTAAGGAACACATGAAGGAATATGCAGGCACAACAGCTGTTGTTATGACATAAGAACCACTAATAATGCAGTTTTCCCCAACTGAAACATTAGGCCCCAATCTGGAATACTCCACAACTGAGCCAGGTGACACAGAACATCTTGAATCCAGTATACTTTGAATAATACAGGATGTGTTACCAGAGCATTCCGGAATTGCTGGCAAGATGCTAAAAGCTACGGACTGTAAGCCAAGCTCTGATTTCAAACTGCTATCTGAAGTCAAGTGAAACAAATATTCTTCAGTTGTTCCAATGTGATAAAATTTGGAGTTATTAAGAACGACAACATTAAGTGATGTTCCTTTAAGAAGGTGAAATATTCTCTGCCTCATATCTACTAACTCTGATTCTTCTTTAGTGACATGTGATGTGTTTCTGGTATACTCCACAGTTGCTCCAGGTCCCAAAGCCTGCAGAAAGTCTCCATAGGCATCTATTTCACAGTTCAGTGTGCCTATGCTTTCATAAAAAGCAAGTAACTTTTTCGCTGACTTATGATCCATGTAAAATAGGCTGTCTGTGTAGACATACTCAGGGTCTAATTTAAGAGAGGTAGTGTCACTCTCAGCAAAGTTCTGTTGAGAAACATTTCCAGGTCTACACACAGCATCTAACTGATGCATCTTTTCTATGCTGGGCTTATGAAGAAAACGATGGCAACACCTGTATTCAAGGTCTCTATATTCTAAGCAATTAAAGGGTTCTAAGACAAATACTCCGTGTGTGGTACCTACAGTCAAACTAGAAGGATGAGCTAACGCAGTAAAGCCAGGCTTGTCAAACCTAATAAACTCAGATTTTCCAATACTATAAAGTTCAATATCATCTGCACAGGTAACAAGAATCCCAGGATTCATATGTGAGGGGAAATCAATGTACATGGCTAGTTTTAATTCTAACATCTGATAAATGGGGTTACCAAAAGGTAAAGCAGTGAAAATTTTCCCCAGAGCACTCGCATTTGGAAGGCGTTGACTGTAGCCACCTATAAAATTAAACAAAATAACTGTTTTTAAATATTTATATCATTGTTTACAAGATTTTAAAAACCCAGGGGCATCAGTTGCAACTCAAAATGTCTCTAAAGATATTTAATATGTACAGTGCATTACTGTAACTCAGGAAAGAATAATAAATTCCAGATTACAAATTCAAAGAACAAATCTGTAGCCATTTGACATATTGTAGTTTTAAAGATTCTAGATTAGGAAAGAATTCCAATATACTTTAGACTATGTGATTATTTTAAATCAACTGTATAACCAGTAAAGAGGACCACAGGCTAAAACATGACTTCATATCTACATTTTAAACAACAAATTTCAACCATATTTAAACTCCTACAATAAGAATCTATTCTATAGAGGGAAAAAAGTTACAAAAAACTAATATACCAATTCCAACATTACCTATCAAACAGTAATTTCCAGATACAGTATCTTTCTTTAAATTATTACATACACTTAAAGAAAGTAAAGCTGCATTTATTTAAAATACTTTTAAAATTTATACTTGTTTTTAATTTAAATAGGCTTTTCTCTCTCTGATGAGCCCTATGGTTTAATTCCTTGCAAAGTGTGTTCTAAGTACATTTAATAGCTTACATCATTTTTATGTTAAGTAATTACAGTGAGAGGCATTATTACAGAGTAGAAAGAGTCAGACAAAATTGGTTTCAAACTCTGGTTCAGCACTTTTCAGTTGTTTATCTTTGGATTCACTCCAAATCAGCAAATGTAAAATACTTGCATTATCATGTTTAATGAGATCAATAACATATGTAAAGCACCTGGCACATAGTACATTGTTCAACAAATGAGAGCTAATACTTTCTACTTTTTCCTTTTCCAAAGACTGGCCAATTGTAAAGTTTAACATTATAAGAATTACATATTCCTAACTATATATTTTACTGGTATTTTATTTTTACTAAATTGGTAATAAAATACTTGTTTTGAAATAAAATAATACAATTTGATTTTTTTAAAACTTTTTTTACTTTACTTTTTGTCAGCCTTAAAATCAGAACTGGGATGCTTTATTTGATATCATCTTTACAAAGAATCACTGTTCTTTATATGAATCATAAGATGGTAAGTGCCTCAGAAGCCCTGGTGCCAATCCATGACAATTTTCATCAGCCCCTAATTCACAGAGAAAAATAACAGAGGTTTTCATATAACCAAAATTTTCATATAACTAAATGTATTCAATTTTAAGAACTATCCCTTATTCTGAGATTCTCTACTTTTTGCTATAAAATGTCCTTCTTTGTGTGTAATTTTACCCTATGTATATTCTTGTCAACTCCATGTTTTGTTATTGCCTTTTTAAAAAACTCTTGAAGATTATAGACTTTGGCCACCAATAATCAAGTAAGAACTCATGATATAAGGCTTTGGCAAAAGTCTGGTAATCGCAGTGCTAAACCAGCCTCTCTCCTACACCACCAAGAAACTCTTCTAGAAGAATTAGTGAGAAATGTTCATATTTTGATGAGTTCTGCGTTAGGAAAGTAATTTTTTCTTTACATAACGAGAACAGCTATGAAAAAATTGATAATGTATGTGATCTATAATTTTAAGGACAATTTTGTGAAAAACATACTATTTACAAATTTAAAATATCAAGAAAGGCATGAAATATTTGCTTTCAAAGCAGAGTAACTTCAAAGGCGAGGGAAAAAATGGAGAAAAGTATACGCAAGAGAGAAAAATGTCCCTAAGATATCAAAGGTAAAATACTGAAAAGAAAATATAAATTCGTAAAGTATAACTTTACCAGAGTGAATTAATAGGATGGTAAAAGAATTCCATTTATCTCCATATAGCTTTTCCAAACATCGAAGGGCACATAGTGTTGATCCTCCATTTCCTTAAAAACAAAGTCAAAAAGCACAACTTATTTCATAGAAATCTACTAAAATTTTGTAATTCTGGTAAAGTTAGATGTTATAACTTTAAGGATATGGCTTTTGGCTATAATTAACTTGGCAGAGAGCAAAAATACAGACAAAAGAATAAAATAAATTTTATAGCAATTAAATAAACAATTAGTATGGAAACCCAGAGATCAACCCTCAGTAATAAATGATGAGCTAATTTCCTGAAAATAGAAGAAATAATAAAGTAAGCAATCTGCAACACTGGAATACTGTTAAGTATATGCACATTTACTTGGAGTTACAAATTGCAAAATCCATTTAAATAATTCTCCCATATAACAATCAAATGTACAAGTTAAATTTGATTCTAAAAAGTTTTTTAGCATCTGCTCTCCTAAAAAGTATCTTAAATGTAACTACCAGTTACTAGTTACTTTGGGCAAATTGTTTAACTTTCTGTGCCTCATATTCTCATCTATATAATGGGAATCAGAGAGTATTGACTGCACAGTTGTAAGGATTAAGACACTGGCTAATTATAGCAATGCCAGTGTCAGATATAGATACCATATCTCTGGTATTCAAGTGGCTTCAGCTTGAAGTATTACATGGAAAATGGCTTTCACAAAAAATAGCATGCATTTTTATTTGCAATGGAAGGTCAAAAGGCAAATTTTACTTAAATTGGATTTTTTAAGTAAATATAAATGATACTTAAGCCATTAGGCTGTGCTCTTTTGCATTCTGCACTGTGGTCCTAAGACGTTCGTTAAGTAGTATATATATTTTTTCTTCATTTGCTTTCTTCATGTACATCACTGAAAAAAGTTCAGAGTTTGGAGGATTATCACCATCTAAGTAAATTTTATCAAAACTAACAAATTTCTCTTTTAAATAACATGACATTCTTGACTTTTTCATAAGTTCACAATGTGTCAGAAAGATGCTATTAATTTTTTTAAAAAATTAGTGAATTTACATTAAAAAATTTAAAGTCTGTAAAGACTATGGTGGAAAGATATGCTAATTTATAAACTGTAAGCCACAGGAAAACTTTTCTTTGATTATTCTGCCTAGAACCTATGATATAAATCTGACCATAAATGCATACCAATTTTAGCTCCAGCAGGATCAACAAAAACATGATATTGAACTCCAAGAGGTAACTCCTTTTTTTTCAGCTTTTCTGACAATTGTAGCTTGTAAGCAAGTTCCTGTTTTTCATCAGCTGCTGTTATTGCAACAATATCCCAGAACTCTCCAGCTGCCACAGGTTTGCCTATATGAAAAAAAAAAAATCAAGGAAAATATAAGTATTGTCAGAATTCTGTTACAGGCCTACTTATTTGGAAAGATAAAAAAAAGAGGTAATATTATCATCTTCATAAATATATCTTCTGCTTTTCAGAATTAGGGGATATTTAGTGGCCAGTTAGTATGATTCAAGATAGTTCTAATGAAGATTGTTCAATAGGTCTACTTTTTTTCTCTTTTATATTACTTGCTCCTATGGTCTATATGTCAATTTATTTAGATATTCTGAAAGTTAACGTTTCTTCATTAAAAGTACTTTTTGACTTGCTAAAGATGACCTCAATTCTTAAAAAAGAGACAAAGGAATAAAAGAATCTCCAGCGTTGCAAATTAATTTCCATATATCAGAACCATTTAGTGTTTGTTGGCTAAGAAAGATTCAACTCAAGGATCCATTCCTACAATGTTGCTGTTTATAAACGTGGGTACTTTATTTTTATTACCTTAAAGTGAGCCATATGATTTTACAAAGGGATTTGGAATGTGACATAAAATTCTAGGGAACAAAAAAGCTCCCAGCTCCTGATGAATTCTTTCATTACAGAACTCTAAATATTACAACTTTGTAAAAGAATATTTTCTTTCCCTTCCTCCTGCCTTACTTAATTTATATACACATATACATATACATTTATATTTACATTTTACTAGAGACAAAGAAAGAAGCAAGCATAACGTAAAAAAAGAAAGTGACAGGAAAGAATAAAATATTCAAGAGTATTAGCTACGCCTGTGTCAGTGTCCTAGGCTCACAGGTGAGAAGCAGACAGGAAGTGATTGATAGTCCAGCAAATTTCTCGGCACATAAAGGACCCTCCCTATTGCCGGTGGAGAGCTGGGGTTTCTCCTTTGGTACCTCTCAGCTCTGAAAACCTCCGCAACTTTCGCTGGGTGGCTTCTCGCAGAGATACGCCTGGAGAAGAATTTGCAGCAGCCATAACGCCCCCCGCACCCCCACCTTTCACGCAGTCAGCGGAAAACTTCCAAGGGTACTGCCGTTCGGCACAGCACGCATGCGCCCTGGAATGTAACCGACCCTGGGTCCGGTTTCGCCTCTGTCCCGCCCCTTACGTGCGTCACGCACGTAACCACGCCCCCGAAGCTCTTTGGCCTGCCCAGGGAAAACCGTGATGAGGTGAGCCCAGAGCCTTGCCCTATTTCCCTAGCAACGGTCTGCGGAGCAGATGGTCACCTAGCGATTTGTCGGACTGTGTGGAGTCTGACCACTTGTTTCCAACTCATAAGGTCTTGCAGCTTGGTTGACCCGGTGAGTGGTTCATGTTGGGCGACAAAATTGCTAGAATTGATCCGCTAAGAAGACGAAACTACAACCTAGCTTCTAGCTTTCTATCGAAAGGTGGTTCTTTTCTGACTCGCCGTTTGTTTCAGCCAAGAGCAGTTACCGAGGACCGCCTGATTGTTAATTCCTCCCCTGATCGTCATCTGAAGGCTTCTGCCTCAACCCCAGATCCAGATACAGTCTGAACATTGTAAATCTTTATTTTCTTCAGGACCCTTAGGTTTGTGGCTTCTTTGCCTTTGCAAGTTCCTAGAGAGTGAGACTTTCCACCCCTCTCACTTTCGAGTTCACTTTATAGGTTTCTGGAAGTTGTATCTAATTCATTCTCTAAGCAGACCCTTAACATTCGTGATATTTTAGTTAATTTCTCTGTCATCCTTTTGTATATGTAGATCAATCAAGAACTTACAATAATATTCCTGGCAATAAGTCAATTTATTATATATGTTTTTGGTAGGTTAGCTCTATAAGTATTTCTCTTGTAAACTACCAAATTTATTGGTTTTATGGATGAATCAGTTCATCTTTACACATAAGAAAGTTATGAATCAGAGAGAATAGTGACTTAGTCAAGGTCTCACAATTATTAAGTAGTAGAGAGAAGATTTAATAAGATATTTCAATCCCCAATGCAGAAATCATTCTACCATACCATGTGATTTGATTTATTTTAGAGGCCTGTGTTCATTAAAGTCTTCATCAGAAACACAGGCAGTCAAGGCCCTACGAGCTCTTGCCACGAACTTAGTATTTTTTTCCTAAACACTTAACTTGACCCTGTTATTTTATTCTGTACTTACAGAGAAAGTGAGTAAAAAGGGAGATTACTCTTTCATAGTTTTATTGCTTAGGAGGTTATTTTGTTAATAAAAACAATACATTCTTATTAAGAACGTTAACGTTTAGAAAATTCAGAAGACTTGAGTGAGCAAAAGGGGAAGTAGCAAGAGAGAAAGTCAGAGAGGTGACAGATACCCAAAGATAGCATTTTGTTTTTACTGAGTGAAACAGTCATTGCAGGGTTTTGTTGTAACTTGCTTCATATTTAAAAAGATCACTCAGTAATGTGAAAATAGACTGTAATGGAGGATTGAGGGAGGGAGACTTGATTTTTGTTGGTTGGCTACTGTGGTAATACAGATAAGACTTGGTGAAAGCTTGGCAAGGATGCTAACAGTGGGGATGATGAAAAGTTGGTTAGATTCTGGATATATTTTGAAGGCACGATTAATCTACTAATGGAATGGCTGTGGAATGTGAGAGAGAAAGAGGAGTCAGGGTTGACTACCTGATAGATAGAATGGCCATCAATATAGATGGGAATGGCCATGGTTGGGGAATGTTGGTGGAGTAGTTGGGAGAGTTCAGAATTTTGTTTTGGACATGTAGAATAAACAAACGTATATGTGTGTGTATGCAGTGTATATGTTATAGAGGTGTGTGTGTATGTGTGTGTCTGTACATTATACTTATGAGTCTGGTGTTCACGAGAGAGGTCTGGGCTAGAGATATGATTTTGGGAGTTGTCAGCACATGGATGGAGCTAATTTTAAACTATGGAATTAGATGAGGTCCCAAGAAAAGAAAGGTCAGTAGAGACTATATGCTCAGGTACTATAAATACTAATGAGATAAAATAAACAATGAAAAATTAACCAAACAAGAAAATTTCAATAGTGATAAGAAATGTGAGGGAACTAAAACAAGGTGATGTAATAGAGTCTATCACATAGAGTATTAAATACAGTATTTTTTGAATCTGAGGAGAACCATAGAAATGGGTTTTATTTTTTTTTAATATGATTAAATTATGCACATGAAATGTGCTGGAAGTAAACATGCCACATTATCAGGTACAGTTTTTGTTTTTTCCTTTTCCATATTTCTAAAATTTTTACTCAATTTTTAACTGAAAAATGAAAAAAATATATTGTATAATATATGAGTAGGAGTAAATTTCCTTTGTGGTTGATTATGGGGGTAAAAAAAATCTAGGGATTTTATTTCAGTTTATATTTAATATAATCAAACAGTATGGTACGATTGTTTAAACAATCATAAGCTACAGTAACCAGAATGAAATATGCCAGTACAGCTAAGTAGTAAACCCATTATTCTGTGCAAGTAAAACACAATGGAAATGGTGTGTTTAATCTTAGAGTCGATATTTTAAAAGAGACAGACAAAATGAACTATAATAAATTGAAAAATGATATTCTGTGTAGGCATTTGGACACTTTTTTTTCCCGTGAGAGGATAATAGAGAATATCTAAAGTGCCATAAAGAAGAGATACATTTTTAAAAATTATTGAGGTATACTTTATATACCATTAATTTAACCTATTGTAAGTGAACACTAATAATTTTTTAGTAAATATACTGAGTTGTACAGCAATTACCACAATCCAGGTTGAGATCATTTCCATCACTCCAATAAGATGCCTTGTGCCCATTTACGGTTAATGTAAATTAGGTTGTTTTTATTACTCTAGGCATAACTGGAGTGTGGAAGTTGTAGAGAAGCACATTAAAATTGTTTTTCTTCACATTAAAGTTTTATTTTTCCTCCTTCATAAGAAAAAGCTGAAACCAAATGAAGACAGTCCTCGATTATGGACCAGTTGCTCATGGTGCATGCCTTGGTCAGTTCATGCTAGGGCTCTGATCTTTTCTATTACTTGTGCTTTGCTCTCTATTTAATCACTGTTCCTCCTCCTACTCTTCCTGAAATGTAAAGCAAAAATCTGTTTTCCTTTTATTTACATAGCTAGCCTGTTCTCAACTTATTTCTTTACTATTTTTTTTCCTTCACCGTGCCCTGTTGAGGGAACCCTCATCTCCTTTCACTTTTCTGGAGGGCAAAGGAAAACTTTCTTCCCTTGAACTATTTTATTTTCTCTTTTAGGTTTTTTTTTTTGTTTGTTTGTTTTTTTAAGACTTTATTTTCCAGAGCAGTTTTAAGGGCACAGCAAAATTGAAAGGACAGTATAGAGATTTCCAGTATACTCCTGGCCACACACATGCATAGCCTCTTCCATTATCAGTATTTTCCACCAGAGTGGTACATTTGTTACAATCGATGAATTTACATTGACACATCATATTCACCCAAAGTCTATAGTTTATCTTAGGGTTTACTCTTGGTATTGTATATCCAATGGGTTTGGACAAAATATAATGACATGTATACATCATTATAGTGTTTTTCAAAATAATTGGACTGCCCTAAAAATCCTCAGGGCTCTGTCTGTTCATCCCCCGCTACCCCCAAACCCTGCAACTACTGATTTTTTTACTGTCTCCATAGCTTTTTTTTCTCCCAGAATTCATATAGTTGGTATCCTATATTATTTAACCTTTTCATATTGTCTTTTTTCACTTATTAATATGCATTTAAGTTTACATCATGTCTTTTCATTGCTCGATAACCAATTTTTAGTGCTAAGTAATATTCCATTGTCTGGGCTTACCACAGTTTATTCATTCACCTATTAAAGGACATCTTAGTTGCTCTCAGGTTTTGGAAATTACGAATAAAGCTACTATAAACACCCATGTGCAGATTTTTGTGTAGAAATAAGTATCTAACTCCTTTGGGTAAATATCAAGGAGGGCAATTACTGGACCTGATGGTAAGAGCATGTTTAGTTTTCTAAGAAACTGCCAAATTGTCTTCCAAGGTAGCTGTACCATTTTATATTTCTACCAGCAATGAATGAGAGTTCCTGTTGCTCCATATTCTCTTTAGCATTTGGTTTTGTCAGTGTTCAGGATTTTGACCAATCTAATGTGCATGCAATGATATGTCATCGCTATTTTAATTTGTATTTCTAAGATGATGTCTGATGAAGAGCAACTTTCATATGCTTATTTGTCATCTGTATATCTTTAGTGAAGTATCTGTTAAGGTCTTTGGCCCATTTTTTAATCTTTTTGTTCATTTTCTTATTGTTGAGTTTTAAGAGGTTTTTTTTTTTTTGTATATTTGGATCATAGTTCTTTATCAGATAATTCTTTTGAAAATATTTTCTCATAGTCTTTGATTTGTCTTCTCATTCATTTGACATTACCTTTTGCAGAGCATATGTCTTAATTTTAATGAAGTCCAGGTTATAAAATATTTCTTTCATGGATTGAGTTTCGGTGTTGTATGTAAAGAGCCATCATTATACCTAAGGTCATCTAGGTTTTCTCCTATATTATCTTTTATGAACTTTATAATTTTGTGTTTTATATTTAGGTCATAGATCCATTTTGAATTAATTTTTCTGAAGGTATAAAGTCTGTGTATAGATTTATTTTTTTACATGTGGATTTCTAGTTGTTTCAGCTCCATTTTTTAAAACACTATCCTTTCTCTATTGTATTGCTTTTGCTCTTTTATCAAAGATCAGTTGACTATATTTATGTGTGTCTGTTCCTGGGCGCTATTCTGTTTCATTGATCTATCTTTCTATTCTTTTGAAAATACTACACTGCCTTAACTATAGCTTTATATATAATAAGTCTTTAAATTAGATAGTGTCATTCCTCCAACTTTGTTCCTCTCCTACAATTTTGTGCTAGATATTGCAGGTCTTTTTGCACTGCACATAAAATATAGAATCAGTTTGTTGACATTGATAAAATAATTTGCCAAAATATTGCAATGAAATTGATAGTATTGAATCTTCTTATCTTTGAACATGAAGTCTCTTTCCATTTATTTAGTTCTTCTTTGATTTAATCATCAGCATTTTGCTGTTTCCTCCTGTGGATCTTTTATTTTTATTTTTATTTTTTATTTTTGGTTGACCTCACAGATTGCAAGGATCTTGTCAATTTACAATCCCTTATTTTTTATTTTTTATGCCTGCAGCACCAGGTCTTCCTAGCTGGTCTCCCATCCAAATACTAACCAGGCCCAACCCTGCTTAGCTTCCAAGATCAGAGGGGATCGGGCTTGTTCAGGGTAGCATGGCCGTAG